CAATCAACTATCTCAAATTTGATTTCTGTGGTCTTGGTGTAGGATAATTGTTGGTATCCGGAGCATGTTCTTTTGCTATGCGGGATCCACCAAATTTGCTAGCAACAGTTCCAGTTACTTCACTCTCACTAATTGGCCATATCGTTCTTGGTTTTTTCGTACTACCATATGATTGTGGTGTACCTTTGACGATGGTACCTTGCATCTATATTAATGGAACCCATATAGCTGAAATAAAATTGAAAGAAAAATAATTTTGTGAGATAAAGTGAATTAATTTTTCTGATGAAATCACTAAAAGATAGAAATACATACTTTGAACTTGGCTCTTGTTGAGGCACATTCTCCAGATGCTTGACTTCGAGTGGGTCGAATTGAGACTTGTCAACATATACAGGGAGAAACAGTTTCTATGGAAGATTATTGAAGAGGTGAAATCTGCCGTTTCTTTTGATTGTAGAATGAAATTTTTCTGATTTAAGAGGTGTAGAAACGGTTTATATGGAAGATGATTGAAGAGGTGAAAGAGGAATTGGTATTTTTTGAACATGGGGTGGTGGGGTGCTGACTAGAACAAGTGTGGTAACAGGAGGAGTGTGGGTTTGACATGTAACGTTAAAAAAGGAACAAGAATCAAGGTAAAATCCCTAAAAATGTGTTAGAGATAATTATGGTAGATTCTTTATTTATATTATTTAATAATAAATATAAAATTATAAAAGACTAATTATTTAATAAAGTAAAATTAAATTAATTTATAAATAAAAGGTGATCTGTTATAACCTGTAATTAAACTGTTATAAGCAAGAATATTTTAAAAGTAGATTTAAAACCTGTAATATTGTCCCTTAAATATATATGTGGCGTGAATTTTCCGTTTGTTATTTCATACAATTTTTCCGCTCTTCTAAAGGGAAAATTGTATGAAATAGCAAACTATTAATTCAAATTAAATGATATAGCCATAGTTTATTTTATTTGTAATTCGCAGCAAACATCCCATATTTTTTTCATTTGGTTCGGTATACAATCAGCCATTTTCGGTATACAATTACCCATTCGGTATACAAATGTATAAAATGTGTTAATATAAAGCGAGAGAAAAGTGTATATACAAATACAAATACATATATTTTCGTCATATACACTTATAATTATACAAATACAGATCTTATTATACAAATTACAATGTATAAATGAATTTATACAAAACTGAACAATTTGTATAAAATT